GCCGGGTACGACTTCGCTTCTTCTGCGGTGGCTGGAAAGAAGGTTTCAAACACCGTCAATAACGAAGAACGTAACCTTACCAAAACTCAAAAGAAGTTGAAGGAGCATGGTTATGGAGTTGACAACAACAAAGCCGGACTTGGTTTCACACCAAATGCACCTGTGATGATTTCAAACAAAGCGAAAAACACTAGCGCTCAACACATCAGCGTGAGCATTGAACAAGACCAAGGAGAGCCTAAACCCTCCCCTCGGACGTCGGTCTTCGATAGGATGAGCCATTCAAGCTCCAGAACGTCAGTGTTTAATCGCATTGGTGGTCAAAACCAAACCTCTGTCTTCAAGAGGCTTAACGCGCCAACATCCCAAAACTCTGTTTTTGAACGGTTGTTAAAGCTTAAGAAACAAAGCAGCACAGTTATCTCTCCTCTGCGACGATCAGCTTCAGAAAAATTTGAAGATAATGAGAAGCCTTTTGGAAAGAGGAAGACAACACCAAAGGAAGAAAAGCTCGATGGGTTAGGAGAAAAAGATGACGTTCGAAGCTTGATTCCTTCAAGGATGAAGCGCCAAGCAATCTTAGAGGTCGACACAAAGGGACCACTGAAAGTGAGAAGGCGTACTATCATCCACACCAGACAATCCTTATGCCAACAAGCTCAAGAAGACAGCACTGAAGAGGAGATCCAAGATGTTTTCCACATCACGGTTCAAGAAGGTAAAGAAGACGAAATCCCCGAGGAAGATGTCACTGCTGCACCACCACAGCTCGAAGATGGGGGGCAAGCCACAGTGGATGATCTCAAGGAACTCAACTTAGGTACAAGCAAGGAACCAAAGCCTATCTTCATAAGTGCATTATTAAGTACAGATGAGATAGAGAAGTATTATCAGCTGTTGTTAGAATACAAAGACGTCTTTGCCTGGACCTACAAAGAAATGCCCGGCCTGGACCCTATCATCGCTGTTCATCATCTTGCGGTCAAGCCTGGAACACGACCGATAAAGCAAACTCAAAGACGCTATCGATCTGAGCTTATCCCACAAATCGAGGTCGAGATCGACAAGCTAATCGAAGTAGGCTTTATTCGAGAAGTGCAATACCCCAAGTGGATCTCCAACATCGTCATTGTCCTTAAGAAATCAGGACAAATACGTGTTTGCGTAGACTTCCGGGACCTCAACGATGCTTGCCCAAAGGACGACTTCCCCTTGCCAATCATTGAAATCATGGTGGATGCAACCACTGGCCATGAGGCATTATCATTCATGGATGGCTCTTCTGGGTACAATCAAATTCGCATGGCCCTCGAAGACGAGGAACTAACAGCCTTTCGTACTCCAAAAGGTATTTACTGCTACAAGGTGATGCCCTTTGGTCTAAAGAACGCTGGAGCTACGTATCAACGCGCAATGCAGAAAATCTTCAATGACATGCTACACAAAAACGTAGAATGTTACGTAGATGATGTGGTGGTTAAGACGAAGAAAAGATTAGACCACTTGAAGGATCTGCGAATAGTGTTCGAAAGGCTGCGAAAATACAACCTCAAGATGAACCCGTTAAAATGTGCGTTTGGCGTCACCTCTGGAAAATTCCTTGGCTTCATCGTCAAGCACCGTGGTATTGAGGTAGACCAATCAAAGATCAAGGCCATTCAAAGCATGCCCGAACCAAGAAACCTGCACGAGCTGAAAAGTCTACAAGGACGGCTAGCCTTCATTAGACGCTTCATTTCCAACCTCGCAGGGCGTTGTCAACCGTTCAGTCGCCTTATGAAGAAAGATGTCCCATTCGTATGGGACAAAGCGTGCCATAATGCTTTTGAAAACATAAAGAAATATTTGTCAAGTCCACCTGTCCTGGGGGCACCTGTGCCCGGGAAACCACTCATATTGTATATTGCAGCTCAGGAAAATTCAATCGGAGCACTCTTGGCGCAAGAGAATGAATCCCAAAAAGAAGGAGCACTTTACTACCTCAGTCGGACTCTCACCGGCGCTGAGTTGAACTATTCCCCAATAGAAAAGATGTGCCTCGCTTTGGTGTTTGCCATTCAGAAACTCAGACATTACATGCATGCTTACACCATCCACTTGGTTGCTAAAGCCGACCCTGTTAAATACGTTATGTCTAAGCCAGTCTTGACGGGGCGACTCGCTAAATGGGCTTTGCTTCTTAATCAATATGAGATCATCTACGTCTCAGCTAAAGCTGTCAAGGGACAAGCGCTAGCAGACTTCCTTGCTGATCATCCAATCCCGGCTGATTGGAAAATCTCAGACGACTTGCCTGATGAAGAGGTGTTCTACATCAATATTTTTCCGACATGGACGATGTTCTTCGATGGATCCGCACGAGCAGACGGAGCGGGGGCAGGAGTAGTATTCATGACGCCACAAAGGCAAATACTACCTTACTCCTTCCAACTGAATGAGCTATGCTCCAACAATGTTGCTGAGTACCAAGCATTGATAATCGGGCTCCAAATGGCGATCAACATGGAAATCACAGCTCTTGAGGTGTATGGCGATTCCAAGCTCATAATCAATCAACTCTTAACTGAATATGAGGTGAGGAAAGATGATCTCGTCCCATACTTCCGGCTAGCGACCCAACTGCTACGAAAGTTCGAAGCTGTGACACTGGAACATGTGCCAAGAAAGGAAAATCAAATGGCAGACGCTCTCGCCAATCTAGCCTCGAGTATGACACTAGGAAAAGATGAAGTTGCAGACGTGCCAGTTTGCCAAAGGTGGGTGATTCCGCTCGGTAATGAAATGTCACTAGATGATACAAATGTCATCTCAGTACTTCCAGTCGATGCTGAAGAGTGGAGACAGCCGCTGATCGATTACTTAGAGCACGGAAAGCTTCCAGATGATCTTAGACACCGTTCCGAAATACGTCGACGAGCACCTCGCTTTCTTTACTACAAAGGAACACTATACCGACGCTCTTTTGAAGGAGTACTCCTGAGATGCCTAGGTGAGGAAGAAGTTAATCAAGCCATGGAAGAAGCACATTCAGGTGTGTGTGGGGCACATCAGTCTGGACCAAAGTTACATTTCCGGCTTAAAAGAATGGGTTACTACTGGCCAAGTATGGTGAAGGACTGCCTGGAACACGCCAAAAGGTGCCAAGCCTGCCAATTCCACGCCAACTTCATACATCAACCGCCTGAACCATTACACCCTACAGTTGCTTCATGGCCGTTCGACGCATGGGGATTGGACGTTGTAGGACCAATTACGCCAAAGTCATCTGCAGGGGAAGCTTACATCCTAGCTGCAACAGATTACTTCTCCAAGTGGGCTGAAGCCATACCTTTAAGGGAAGTAAAAAAGGAAACTGTTGTTCGTTTCATCAAGGAGCATATCATCCACCGATATGGGGTGCCTCGCTACATTATCACTGACAACGGAAAGCAGTTCTCCAACCGACTCGTGGACGAGCTTTGCGACAAATACAAGTTCAAGCAGCACAAGTCTTCCATGTATCATGCTCCGGCCAACGGCCTGGCAGAGGCATTCAACAAGACGTTGTGCAACCTCTTGAAAAAGGTAATCGGCCGAACAAAGAGAGACTGGCATGAAAGAATAAGTGAAGCACTTTGGGCATATAGGACTACACATAGGACTCCTACCCGAGCTACACCTTATTCTCTCGTATATGGCGTAGAAGCTGTTCTACCGCTCGAAAGTCAAATCCCCTCACTAAGGATGGCTATACAAGAAGGCTTGACTGATGAAGAAAATGCAAAGTTGCGCCTTCAGGAGTTGGAAGCGCTGGATGAGAAAAGGCTCGAAGCTCAACAACACTTGGAATGCTACCAAGCACGGTTATCCAAGGCATTCAACAAGAAAATCCGCCCAAGGTCTTTCCAAGCCGGAGATCTCGTGCTGGCATTGCGTAGGCCCATCATCACAACTCATAAGACAAAAAGCAAGTTCACATCAAAGTGGGATGGACCCTACGTGATACAAGAAATCTACACCAATGGCGCCTACTTAATCATGGCAGAAGACGGGTTAAGGATCGGCCCCATCAACGGCAGATTTTTGAAGCGCTACTACCCCTAAAGCAAACACACCACGCTCCTGGCCCGCAAGAGCATAAACTGTGTACGGCAAAATCATCATCAAAATCATCATCAAAATCATCGTCAAAACCATCACTCATTTGAACTACGTTATGACTTGATCTCTTCTTTGGAAGAGTACGTAGGCAACTTGAAACTTCAAAACTTCAAGTACAGTCACATCAAAATAAATAAATAAATGTTTCATTAAAGAAAGTCAATTTTATTACAAAAGAAAAGAAAAAAAATAATACATATGTTACTATGTATTAAAAAATATATATATATATATATTCTCTATTCAAAAAAAAAAAAAAAAAAAAAAAAAAAAAAAAAAAAAAACGAAAAATATATATATATATATATATATAATATATATTTCTATATTATATATGTTGAAGTGTCCACTTAAAAGCCGCATGGAGCAAAACAATCTTGGCCAGATTCCACTAGCCCAAATCCGGGCCCAGGCACACCCTCTCTCTCTCTCGCACACACTTCACTTTTGGTTCCATTTCTTCACACCAGCGTGAACAACCACCACCTGCTCAGGCGTCAGCAGCAGCGCCGGCTCCTTGTTCTTTCTCCACCCAGACCCACAAAGAATGCTTGGGAAATCTCCCTCTTCCCTGCTCAGCCGATGGCAGCAGTGTTGATGCAGCACCAACCGTTGACCGAAGTCTCAACCACAATCACAGTCCCCGCCGCGCTCTCGCTCGCCGTCGCCCGCGTCTCGTGCGCCCTACCAGCTCCGATCGAAGCGCGCCGCAGCTAGTGGATCCGACAGCAAGGGTGATGCCAACCCGCCATCTGCGAGTCGTCCGCGTGGCATACGCACGTTTTCCGATCTGAATCGGCCGGCAAAGAGCGGGTCCGATAGTGACTCCGATGAAACCCAGAAGTTAAAATTTGAAAAGAATGGGAAGCATGGCAGGTGCAAAGCTTGCTTTGATGAAACGGGCAATGGGGTTTGTGGTACAGAACCTTGGTCCATCTGATCGGCTGTCTGTAATTGCCTTCTCCTCTACAGCCCGCCGGCTTTTTTTTCCCCTTCGTCGGACGACCTCTCCAGGAGGCTTGCGGAGCTCAGAGACTCCGCGGCGGCGGCTCTGGCGGAGGCGAAGAACTTGGAGAAGCTATGTCTGGGGAGGTGTAAGATGATTACGGATATGGGTGTTGGGTGTATTGCAGTTGGTTGCAAAAAAGCTGAGATTGAGTCATTTGAAATGGTGCCTCCGTGTTACCAACCTGGGGGTCGGATTGCTTGCTGTTAAGTGTAAAGATCTTCGAAGTTTGGATCTTTCGTACTTGCCAATCACAGATAAATGCTTGCCGTCGATCTTCGAGTTACAATATCTTGAAGATTTGGTTCTAGAAGGATGCTTCGGCATCGACGATGACAGCCTTTCTACCTTCAAACATGGGTGTAAGTCGCTTAAGAAACTTGAGATATCTAGCTGTCAGGACATTAGTCATGTTGGGTTGTCCGTCCTAGCGAGCTGTAGTGAAGGATGTTTAGAGCAACTCGTATTGTCATATGGCTCTCCTGTGACTCTTGCTCTTGCTGATAGTTTGGAAAAGCTTCCAACGTTGCAGTCAATCAAATTAGACGGTTGCCTGGTTACCTGTGCTGGACTAAAATCCATTGGAAAATTGGTGCTACCATAGGGATACTTTAATGAGCATTGCAAAACATTATGAAACTGGGGAGACTCTTCCAGAAGAGACATTTTTGAAGCTTTTGGCGGCTAGGACTTTCCGTGCAGGCTCCCTGAGCCTTCGGCAGATAAGATTTGCAAGTGTAGATCTGAAGCTGCACACAGATTATGTACCGGGTGGAGCAGAATCCATATTTGATGTTGATCGCAGGGTTAGTGAACGAACACAAGTGATCCCTCCACTTCCAGAAGACAGGTTCCTTTGTGGTTTCAGCTACATATTTGCAAGTGGATATGCAGCTGGGTCCTATCCAGAACTCGCCGTGAAAATTATGGCTCGTATATGTATTGAGGCAGAATCTTCCCTTGATTACAGGACAATCTTTAAGGAGATGATAAAGTCGACATCACCTACCACCCTCCCCTGTCCATTGTCGCAGGTCGCCCTCTCCTTGGCGACGTTGCAGATCTCGCTCACCTGTGCATCGCCAGATCCATCTCAATCTCCAAATCCCTCAAATCCCTAAATCCGTCACCAGCGTACAAACCCTGTGATTATATCTTGCGGACAGAAAAATCAGAGGAGGTCATGCCATAGCTTCTAGAAGGTTAACAGTGCAACCTGGGCGATAAACAAGTGACAAACAAAAAAAAAAATTGAAGCAAAAACAAGCCAAAAAAAAAAAAAAAACTCCCTGCCTCAGCTGGTCCTCCCTTGATATTTTGGGTCTGATCAGAGCGGCAATGGAGTGGGACTTCAAGGACAGCGACCTCGATGCTCTGGTGGGGTCCAGCATCTCACAACCCCAGATGAAGAACCGACCAGCTGAATCTCTAGGATTGGATCCCTGAACTCACTCACTCGCTCAAAAATGGCGAGTCGACTCGTGCTCGCCTTCGCCTCTCGGATGAAGAGGTAGCGCATCTTCTCCACCGTATCCATCAACGGCCGATCTATCGACATGCTTTCTGTTTGGCATCAGATGCAACGTATAGTTCATTACTGGTGGCCCTGGCATTAGTGGTGGGCCGTTGATTCCGTGAAATTTCTGATGGTGGAAGACGACGTTTCTGGTGACGGAAGTGGCGAACAACGTGAGGCTTTCAAGCAGAAATATTGGGACTTTGAAGATGCAGTGGCAGGAGGGTTTCCGAGAAGCAGGGGAATCTGCGTGCTGCTCTGTATAAAAAAAAAAAAAAAAAAAAAAAAAAAAAAAGGGGCCTTCTCTTCCATGGTGTTCATAATTCGAGAGCTCCATAGCTATACGTTGCAGATGAGAGAGATTCTCTTCTTCGAAGATTTGCAGGGGATTTTAAGCAGGGTGCAGAAGGAGATGCAAGCTTCATTCGTCTGGCTATTTCAACAGGTCTTCAAACTTGACGCCTTGCACTACCTCGAGTTCGTCATTCTAGCCACCATGATCAAAATCAACGAAGAGCTTCATTGACCGCCGTCAAACGACTAGCCGGTCTTCAAACTCGACGTCCGTCTGCTTGCCTTTGCTGCTGCCTTTGAATGTGATTGACAAAATCAAAGTTTGTCAACTCACACCCAAAGATCTCGTCCGTCTGCTTGCCTCTGCTGCTGCCTTTGAATGTGATTGACAAAATCAAAGTTTGTCAACTCACCCCCAAAGATCTCCTCCGTCTTCTCTCGGACTCGCCTGGGTTTTCACCCACGAACTCAACCTTGCAGATGGCCTTATAAAGAAAAAAAAAAAAAAAAAAAAAAAAAAAAAAAAAGTAGCAATGATTATGCCGGGAAGCATATTTCAAAAGAATAATAATAAAAAAAAAAAAGCAATGATGATGCTGGAAGCATCTTTCAAAAGAATAATAAAAAAAAAAATATATATATATATATATGTATAATAAAAACAATGATTGTGCTTCTGGAACCATGTGAAAAAAAAATGTATATATAATAAAAAGAAAAAAAAAAAAAAACAATGATGATGCTTCTGGCACCATCTGAAATATATATATATATATATATATATATAAATGAATGGTGGATCAGCGCCACCGAAAGCAAAGAAAAAAAAAATAGTGATGGACGGTGATGTATATGTTTTATCTGTATTTAGCATAATACACTAAATAAAACGAAGCATGTTCATTGATTTTCGAGAAATTACAAGTGCAAAAAAAAAAAAAAAAAAAAAAAAAAAAAAAAAAAAGTTGAAGTCTTCACAAAGGTTGTGTACGTGAAGCCCCACTACGTGGCAACACTCTCGGAGCAGAAGGCATCGGAGCAAGAGGCATCGGAGATAGAGCATTCGAGGCCTCAATACTTGGCGGAACGCTAGATGACCCAGGAAAGAGGTGCCTCTGGAAGAAAGCTGCAAACCGTTGACGATCATCAAGCTCCTCAAGCTTCCTCTTCATGCCCGACGAATAGTTATTTGCAAGCACATGCAAACTTCTATTCTCGTACTTAAGCTGTTTAATCTCCTGTTTAAGATCTTCCACCTCTGCCATCAATGATTCCACTTGACGGGACCGAGCAAGCAGGCGTTGGCCCATGTTGGACACAGAGCCCGCACACTGAACACTAAGAGCGAGGGACTCTTGAACGGCCAACTCATCGGACCGTCCTGACAGCAGCCTACTATCTTTTGGAGTAAGGAGGTTCCTAGCTACTATTGTAGCTGTTGTGGCGTCCTGCATCACGGAGTCTTCACCTGTAAGAGGACCGTTAGAGGATAAGAAAGAAGGACACCATACATTACCTTGAAGTGGCGCAACCGGATCACTGCTGAGACTCAATTCTAAGCTAAGGTTCGATGGGTTAGCCATTTTTCAAAGGTGTTAAAAGAGATGGGTGGATGGAGTTAAAACTCAAAAGGCCGGAGATGGTTTTCAGGAATGAGCAACCTTCAAAGTATGCATGTTACAGGTGATCAATACCTCTATAAAAAGGAAGAGGCGCTTGCTCAGAAATCAAAGAGGCGTTGGTTCAGAAATCGAAGGGCCGCTTATTCAAAAGAGAAGAGACATCGCTCTGCAAATCAAAAGCTGGATTTTCCGGCGTAAGTTAGGCGACGCTTTCTCGGCTTTCCAGAAAACGCGTTCAACTTTGTCAAAAGATCTCCGACAAAGTTGAAAACACGTGGAGACTGGCGACGCTTTCGCGGCTTTTCAAAGCACGGGTGCCACTTTGTCAAAAGATCACGTGGAGGTCATCATCGCAGCTACACGTCTTTAGCTGACAAGCGCAAAGTTCGGCGACGCTTTCTCTGCTTTTCAGAAAACGCGCGCCATTTTGTCAAAAGAGACGCTCGTGCAGAAATCGAAGAGGCGTCGTTCAGAAATCGAAGAGGCGTCGTTCAGAGATCGAAGAGTCATCACTATTTCAAAAAGCCGGATTTGCGGGATCAAAACGTTTGTCGACAAGGGTAAAAGAACAGTACCACCACTTGTTATTGGGAAATCCCTATATATGTCGACCTTCATCTTTTATGGCAAGGCAAACCTGCAAACAAGAAAAAAAAATGCCCAACTCTTCCTCACCTCCGAGAGTACACTCCCAGCAAAACATCTCAAAATACTCAATTTTTTCCTCTTCCCCAAAGATGATACCAGATGCCTGGAGTACAGATGACCCAGGAGGAAACGGTAGATGGAAGCATGTGCTGATTCATTCACCGCTTCTTCAAAAGCAAAAGTATCTCATATCATCAAGGGCGAAAGCAAAGGTATCTCATATCATGCTTTTTCCCTGTCCTTTTCTTTGTCCTTGCTCTTACATGCAGGAGAAGGGGATATAGAGTTATCAGTCGGAACCTGAAATCAAACTTCCGACCTGGAACTGATTGCCTGGAACCTTTGCCTGGTTGCTTACCTTGCATTGCTCTCGAGTACTCATCGTCGCGGAGAAGTAATGTTTTGAAGCACCATTTAAATGCAAAGGTTGCATTCCATTCCTGCATCAGAGGACAAATACTACACGAGAAGATGCCAAACCTGCATAAGGAAATACCACTTCTGCAAAGGGAGCAAGTAAGACAAGTGAAAATGATACATCAAAGCATGTGGAGACAAGCACAACAAATATATGTGCTGATTCATTCGCTGCTTCTTCAAAAGCAAAGGTATCTTATATCATGCTTTCTCCATGTCCTTTCCTTTGTCCTTGTTATTACTCACATGGCAAAGTGAAAAGAGCAATCAGACGGCATTTGGAGTCAGTTTTCCGATCTACCCTCTTCAATACGAATTGGGGAAAGATTGAACAAAGAAACAGGTCATCACTTCCACCTCCTGCTTGCCTGCCATGTGTCTGAATCCTGCTACTCAATTCAAGAGTAGCACAAAGGAAAATCAACGGTAGGGGGAGACCAAAAGAATCCTCCAGCCCAGTTCAAGATCAAGCCTCGATGGCCCTTGAAGAAATCACAAGTCCGATTCAAAATCAAGTGTTCACCACCCTTGAATCAAATTCAACTCCAGATAAAAGGAGTAAGTTCAGACCTTCGGAGGAAACCAAAACAATCCTCCAACTCAGTTCAAGAGTAAGCTTGTGGAAAATCAACGATTGGAGGAAACCAGAAAATCTTCCAGTCGAGTTCAAGATCAAGCCTCGATGGCCCTTGAAGAAATTTCCAGCCCAATTCAAAGATCAAGCCTCGACGGCCCTTGGGTTGACATCTACATTAAGGGACTTCAAAACGCATCTTCTACACGTGACAAGCACATGTCTACGACACGCCTTGAAGTGGGGGCATTTGTAGACATCAAAATTTCGGTGAAATAAATGTTGACCAAAAATTAAAATTTCAACGCTCACATATCACATAAATTTTACATGTAGCGTGTGACTCAACGAAAAATCGAAATAAATTGGAAAAGTCATCAAATAGGACACGTGTCAATACCTGGCAGACATGATTTATTTCATCTGATTATTTAAATCCAAAAATCAAGTTTTGGAATTCTATAAATAGGAGGCCAAGGCATTCATTTTGGGGAGGAAGAAAAGAAGAAAGGAGGAAGAAAAGAAGAAAGGAG